AACATTAGCCAGAAAATCTAGCTAGAAAAAGAAATAAAAGAGATATGTACAGGAAAGGAAGATGGCAAATTATTATTCTTTGCAGATGGCCCAGTTCTTTACTTACAAAACACAAAACTCGAGTCCAAGTATTAACAACTAAATTCAGCAATATAGCAGGATTTAAAAAAATACAAAAATTAGTAGTGTTTCTATTCACTAATAATGAAATCACCAAGAAAGAAATTAAGAGCCAGGTGTGGTGGTTCTTGTCTGTAATCCCAGGACTTGGGAGCTGAAGCAGAAGGATCACCATGAGTTTGAGGCCGGCCTGGGCTACTTGGAAAGGCCCTGTCTTAAAACAAAAAACATACATACATACATACAACCTGTTTCATTTCCTACTAGGACCAGGAGCAAGGATTATCCATAGTGGTCAGCTGTTTAAAAAAGGAAAGAAATTAGGAAAACAATGCCTTTTACAATAGCATCAAGAAAAAAAATCAAAATTTAAAAACTAACAGGGTCCTGCTTCAAGGTGGTATATGGTGAGATTTTTGGACTTATGTGCAAACATGAGAAGTATATAATTCTTTATCCTATTTTTAAAATATAATCTAATTTTTAAAGGTTTTTTATCATATTATGCAGGGACTTAAAGTTCAACATATCAATACTTGATGAAAAATACCTATTCCTTATTAGGCCTAAGATGTTTGAAATGCAGTGAGATAGTAAGGTTAAGCTTAATAGCCTAAATCATTTGATAATAACAATAAGCTTGTCTTCTGGATGGTTAACAACCTAAGTTTGCAGACCAAAATTAGAGAAAAAAGAGGGCTACAAGGAAAGCCAACATTTTGGCCCTAACCTTCTAAGGTCAATTAAGACTCAGGACATATGAGAACTTGTACTGTAACGTCATGTACCTCGGTAGTGTCCCAAATTTTCTGTTCAAGAAGATTATGGGGCCAAAGAGGAAAGTGATCGATGACGTAGAGTGTGCCTAAGGAGAGTCACATGGGGAGAAGACACTCTCTCAGGCTTTCACAGAGAGCACATTGGCCAAGCATTGGCCGTGACTCATCCACATGGCTGCACTGACAAAGGTTCTACAATCTGAGGTACTGCATCTCAGGATAAATCCTGAGGGGATTTCACTGACCTTCTCAGACCAAAAAGCTACAACTCTTATTGCACAGGTCCTGCTTTACCTTGGTCTTAACCATCCAGTAGAAAAGTATGAAGACAAAATATAGGAAGTAAAGCCATGCTGTTATGTTGAGCTGTGGGGGACTCAGGTCGATAATTTCTGACATTGCCAGTTAAACAGAAGACCCAATGCTATTATGGTCTACTGGACTCTTTTAGAATTTTTTTTTCTTTTAGAATATTTTGCTGACTTTACACACCTATAATATTCAATAACGGAACTTAGAAAAAATAGGGTATACAGATGAATGTCCATTTTGTAACTGTATTCAAAGTGGTTAGGATAGATATATAGTTGCATTCTCTTAATGAATAGAATGATTTGTTCTAATGGTGTTTGTAAATAGGATCTCAAGTCCGCATCTTGTACAGCAATTAACCACTAAGAAGAATATATGCAGTGTGTTATTTGTTGAAACTGTACTCCCGATTTGATTTGAAACTGTCTCATTGCTGTTTATCAATAAAATTTTGAAAAAAAAATAAAAACAAAAAACAAAAAACTAACCTAGCAAAGGAAGTGAAAGAGCTGTACAATGAAAATTACATCACTCTGATAAAAGAAGACACCAGGAAATGGAAAGATAGCTCACATTCTTGGATATCCACAATGAATATAGTCAAAATGGCTAAACTTCTACAATTGATATATAGAGATTTAATGCAATCCCAATCAAAATATCAATTACATTGCTTACAGGTTAGGAGAAAACAATTCTAAAATTCATACAGAAGCAGAAGGGTCCCAGAATTAAAAAAAAAAACAAAAACAAAAACAAAAAACAAAAAACAAACTTGAATAACAAAAGCAAAGCAGAAGGCATTGCAATCCCAGATTGGAAGCTATATTACAAGAATCTATAGTGATAAGAACAGCATGGTACCGGTGCAAAAATGGACATGAGGATCAATTGAACACAGGAGGAGGCAGAAACAATCCCAGGTACACTCAACTATATGAGCTTTGGCAAGGAAGAAAAAACATATATTGGGGCCAGCCAGATAGCTCAGTGGACTAAAGCGCCTGCTTAGGCAGAGTGTAGTGGCTGGCCGGGGTTCGATCCCCGGTGTGCTGTGCTGGCCCCACCCCTGGGGCACCCTGTGACCAGGATTGAGACTGGGCGTGGAGGCGCACACCTGTAATCCAAGAGCTTGGGAGGCTGAAAACAGGACAATCACTACAAGTTGGATCTACGTCATGAGACCCTGTAGACCCTGTACTAAATACATTTTTTTCTTTAAAAAAAAAAAACAAAACATATATTGAAGGAAAGACAGCCTTTTTAACAAATGGTGCTGGAACACTGAATATCTAAGTACAGAAGATTGAGTCTAGAGCCATATATCTCACCATGAACTAAACTAAAATCAAAGTGGATCATAAATTCAAACATTAAAATAGAAATACTTAATCTGCTGGAAGATTAAATAGGTAAAACCCTTGAAGATATAGATGTAGGCTAAAACTTTCTGAAAGGAATCCCAATGGCACAAAAAATACTGCTGAGAGCCAATAGATAGGAGCATATCAAATCAAAACATATCTGCACAACAAAAGAAACAACCGACCAGAGGGAATGGGAAATTTTTTGCCAGCTATTTCTTGGACAGAGGACTAACACATAGAATATATGAAGAACTTAAAAAAATTAGAGCTCTCCCAAATAAAAGACCCAATTAAAAAATGGGCAACTGAAATGGCTAAACACTTTTCAGAAGTACAAATGGGAAATAAACACATGAAAAAATGTTCAGTGTTACTGGCCATTAAATTGCAAATTAAAATAACACTGAGATAAGATCTTACTCTAGGAAGGAGAGCTATCATTAAGAAATCAAGTAATAGCGAATGCTGATGAGGCTGTGGGGGAAACAGAAACCCTCCTGCCTTGCTGGGAATGTAAACTAGTACAAGCACTGTGGAAGTCATCGTGGAGAGTCCTCGAAAAATTAAAGGTACAAATTCCACGTGACCCAGCTATTTCCTTCCTCAGTATCTCTCTAGAAGTGTTACAGTCATCCTCTTACAGCAGTGCAAACATGCCCTTGCTTTGCTGCGAGTTATATGAGCTACATTGTAGAAGCAGTCTGTGTGCCCACGTGTTACTCTTCTTGTTGCTGAGACAAAATACCCAGCATGCACAGCTGGAGGGAGGAAAGGTTTCTTCAGCTCACAGTTCACAGACCATAATCAGCCGGCTCCAAGGCAGAGTGGCACTTGGCAGAGGCATAATAGTCATGGTCGGCAGAAGACAGCAAAACAGCAAGGGACCTGAACAGCATGGGTCTGCCCCCTTTATCTTATCCAGACTACTTAGGGCGGGCAGTGCTCACACCTTCAATCCTAGTGCTCTTGAGCCTCGCATTGCACCGTGGATCATCCCTGTGTCACACACTCTAGACCCAGCCTCTAAAGAAGCCCCACCTATAAGTGCATGAGGCTGTGTGTGTGTGTGTGTGTGTGTGTGTGTATGCAGCTAGACACAAGCTATAACAATGCCCATCACAAATGAATGAATAAAGGAAATGTAGTATTTATACACTGTAGAGTACTACTCTGCCCTAAAGAATGATAAACTTGAGGCAGTCGTAGGTAAATGGGTGCACCTTGAGACTATCATAGTATTAAGTGAAACAAATCAGAGACACAAACTTAAACGTCATATGGGTTCTCATATCAGAAGCACAAAATACAAAGAGCATAATAAAAGTTAGACAATAAGAAGTAGGGCCATCTTTTTCAAATGCAAAGGGGAATGAGAGATGGAGAGGGCAGAGGAGGGAGAGGCAATGGAAAAAAAAAAAGGGGTTAAAACTTGAATAGAGCTTTTACTAATGGGAAGATGACCAAGAACTGGAAGGATCAGGGAGAGGTGAGGGGTAGGAGATGAGTTAACACATATGCGTGATAGTTAACATGTATGCATGATACACACGAACCAACTCTCCACAATAAGTGCGCTCATAACGTACCTCAGACATGCACTAATAAAAACGCATCAGGCTCTATAAATTCTCTAGGGTAGTGTGGGATTCGAGATAATGAAAAATAGTTCAATGCTGACCAGCAGACCCACGGCCTGGAAGTGTTGAGTAAGATCTGGCTATTTTGAGACTTGCTAGAGCAGCCAAGTGTTGACCCATCCTGAGGGGTGTTTTAAGACAAAGGCCCAGGGGAAGGAGTTTCTGGACACTATTTCTCTTCTTCTCCAGGCATATTCAAAAAGTAGACATTTGTGTTGGATCGGGGACATTCATGTTGGTCTTGACCTTGTTTTTCCACACACAGTGTGGGAGATAAGGACCGAAGAGGTGCACGGGACAGGAATGAGAATGTCTGGGAGAAGAGGGATTTCAGGATTCCCAAGGGAAGGGTTGGGGATCACCATGGGTCTCAGAGTCCGGGAGGAGGGGACAGGAGGGCTGGGACGCACCCTGTCTATCCCATCATGGATGCCTGGGGTTCGCGAAGTACCAGGAATGCAAATGTAATAACCAGAACCAGAGACTTCCTGCTCACGGATGTGAGGTGGGAGAGGGACCAAAAATAACCACACAGCCCTCGGAGAAGCCACCCGTCTGGCCCGGAGGCCCCTCCTACACACCCGCTCTAAGTCATTTCTAACGTGGTGAAAATTCACAGAAAGAAGAATAGGACTTGCGACCGTTTGTAGTAACAGGATGAGAGAGTGCGAGACTTCCTGTTATGTGCGTGTGACAGCAAGCGATAAGTGGAGGGCCCTGCACAGGAAATCCGCTCAGCTTCTGCAATGTGACCTGCCTGCGACTTGGGCGCTTGTGCAGTCTGGATGTTGATGGCAGGGCAAAGGGGCGCCTGGACCATGGACGACGATGCGGTAGAGAAGAGCCTGGAAGCGCCGCTGGCACCCGCCACTGACGAGCCCTCCCAGCAGAGAGGAGGGGTGGCGGAAATCTTAAATGAGGAGAAGGTGACATTTGATGACGCGGAGCTCTCCTTAGTGCTTCAGAACGGCCTGGAGACCCTCCGAGTGGAAAATGCGCTGACCGATGTCATCTTGTGTGTGGACATCCAGGAATTCTCCTGCCACCGCGTGGTGCTTGCGGCGGCCAGCAACTATTTCAGGTTAGCGCGTCTAGAGCCAGAGTTGAACGGGGTGCAAGTGGAAAGGAAAATCTGTGCCCAGTGCACGCAGTTTGCGACCACATTTGTGTTTATGTGGATTTCTTTTGAGGCTCACGTGTCCACTTAAGGCATGAGAAAGGCAGCTAGCAAACGCTAGCCTTTAGCGTGTAAGCCGCATACAACATACTGATTTGGCAACGTTTGAAAAGCAGGGAGTGCTTGAGTGTGGTGGTGAGCCTTTGCCCTGTGTGTACGCCTTGTTCTAAAGAATGGAAAATGGCTTAAGTGGTGGGGAATTTTTTCCCCTTTCCTTAGTCTGATTAATGTGTTGGAAACACCATGTCATCTTTGTTCACCAACAGGGATAGAGTAAAAGGATGTGGATGGGGCTCTTGTTTTGGAGTTACCAAACAGCTTGCAAATGAGGGGCGTGTGTGTGTGTGTGTGTGTGTGTGTGTGTGTGTGTGTGTGGCAGGGGGAGGAAAACAATTATAAAGGAGCTTAGATGTAGAAATTCCCCTTATGACAATAAACTTGCGGTCTCACAGTAACTTCCCAGGAGGCCTGGGTTTTACCCTATTTGGCCTCTTTGTGACCATAAGACTTTTGTTAAGTCCCACGGTACTCTGAGGCTCCTCTTGGTCACCTGTAAGATGGGAACCATCTGTCCACATTGTTGTGATAATCAAACATGAGGGTGAAAAGAGTTTTACTCAGTGCCCAGCATAGAGTGGATGCTTGATATATTTTTGTTGAAATTCTTCCCCTAATTCTGCTTTGTTCAACTAAGAGTTGTTATAATGATGAACATGGACCATTAGCAAATCCCTGGGGTAGGCATGAGGGAGAATCAGGAGCCCAGTGAGGGTGGTTGGACCTAGCGTTGTCCCTATTAGGGTGGACATGGTGGGGGACCAATACGGAAGGGCCACGTGGACCACGAAGGCGTGGAGGAACAGGAAAGAAAAATATCTTTGTAATTCTTCATAGCAAGAGTCTTCTTAACTCTAGGTTCTGGTTCAGAAAATTAAGAAGGAAAATGTTATACTGTTTGGAGGTCCCTGGGGAGATCTTTCTTCGGAATTCAAAGAGCACGGTTGGCACTGCTGTGGGGCTGGGTTGCTCCCACATGTTGGCAAAGCGTGCGGGGATTTCTGCATTTGAGGGGATCGTGTCCGCTGCCCAGCCACACACAGACACTGCTGTCTCATTTTGTCTCACTGTGATGAGGGTGGCTAATATTCCCATTTTCTAGAAAATGGAACCCAATATGACACCTCTGGCCCTTGGAGGAGCAGGAGTGCTGTTCGTTCTAGAAATCTCTGCATTTATTGCAGTGCAACCTGCCGGGGAGTTTGGGGCTTCCTCCTGTAGGAAGTGTGTGAAGATGAAGCATAGGCGGAGCTGTAAAACTGGGTTGGCAAAAACAGACAGCTGACTCTACCATTAGTGGTCACTTGCTTTCACAATTGGTCACACCCCTCTTGGGAGTAGATGGAAGCCAGCTTATCAGCGCCCTCGGTACTTAGTTTAGGTTTATTCATTCTGTTTTGAATCACCATAGGACGGGCACCATATACTTGGTTAGTAATTTGGCTGTGGCTGTATGGTCATTTGGCCTCTGTGTGGGACAGGACTGCTGGCGGCGTGCTGTAGACACGGCCTTGCCCTTCTCTGGTCTTTGGGTTTATCCTCCTGAACCCAGAGCACCTGGGCTCTGTTCTTGCAACCTGCTGGCCTGGGACACCAGGGCAGGCCTGTAGCAGTCGCTAGAGCAGACTGTGGCACTGAGAAGCTGCTGGCACACAGGGTCTAGTGTGGCTATGAAGCTTCTATCCCAACTTCCTGGTCATGAGGGGAAAGTCCTCCGATTCCTCTCTGCAGAGGACCGCCCTCAGATTTGGATGGAGGGATTCCCAGCAGAGCTTTCCTTCCCTAAAGAGTATATAGTCCTTGAGCCAGGATTCTTTTCCTCTGGTGCTGCTATTAGTAATGGCTTGGGGCTTGTTGGGTCAGGGCCAGCGCCACCTGTGTCGCAGACACCGGCGCCTCAATGCACACAACCCTGCCAAGGCGGGGATGTCATGCTCATGTTGCAGATGAGGAGCTGAGGTCCTTGGTGTCACAGTTTGTATCAAAAGTGTAGCCAACCTGGGCTGTGGGCTGAAGACTGGCATGAAGCCTGGCATTGCCTCACTGCTTTCTTGCTTTGTAGCTAAGCTTTTGAAAGGGGTTGGAAGCCAAGTTCCCCTTCTGCTCAGACTTTAGAAGGCCAGGGCATCTGTGAGGCTTCCTTCCTACACAGCTCTCTGGGCTTTGGAATGCCTGGCAGCTTAAACCATGTAGGTTTTTTTTTTTTTTCTTATTCATTAAGAAAATAAGTCCTTTTCCTTAAGTAAGTGACCATGGTTTATTCAACCAATTCATTTGACAGACATTTGGATCATTTCTGATCTCTTGTTATTATACAATGGTACAAGGAATAATCTTGTGAAAAATCATTCATAGGAGTGTCTGGTGAAGCACTTGTGCATGAGTTTTGCCAGGTCAAACGCATCTGTGGTCTTAGTGGATGCAACCAGCTTCTCCTGGACAGGGATGGAGCCATTTTGCATCTCCAGGGCTTAGTAATAGATGGTAGCATGTAGTAGTTGAAATTTTAAAATTATATGTTATATATTAACAAATTATATATTAACAAATGAGAGCTATGCATATTTGTGGAGGTGTTGTGATGTTTGGATGCAGCAGGGAATGATGAAATGAAGCCAGCCACCCCATCCATCCCCTCCGACCTTGACATCTTCAGTGATGACAATGCCCAAGTGACATTCCCAATGACACTGGGATGGACAGTCCTGTGCAGTGCCTTTGAAGACAAAAACTCAGAAATCAAAAGCCAAACTGACTTCTCCTATCTAACTTGCACCTTTTAATTATCCACTCTCTATTTTACATTAATCATTACTCTCCGCTTCTGTGACTACAACTGTTTTAAATTTCACATACAAGTAAGAACTTGTGGTGTTTGTCTTTTTGGCAAACTGTTGAATTTTAGTTACTCTGACCAATGAGAAAGAATCTCTCTTTTTGTATGTTTGACCATTATATGAAGTTCTTTTTCTGGAAACTATCTCTCGATATCTTTTCAAATTTTAATGTGTAATTTTTTTAAATTCAAATTTATTTTTGTTCAATCCCTGGTAACCACAAAAAAAATCAAATTTGTTTTTACTGAAATAAGACATGTGGATCATTAACAAAGAGAAAAATACTATTATGGGAAACAAAACTCCTCTTTACCTCTTCTACCCTACAGCCATGTACACTAGAAGCCATTTTAGACTTCTACCAATTGTTTCTGGAATCATTTCTATATTTCTATAAAATGTGATTACATTACTCTTTCTTGGTTTCTCAATATGAGACATCGTTCCTTTATTCCAGATAAAAAATTTTAGCACTTGTACCTAACTCACTTTCCATGCACCGCATACCTTTTGTCTCTAATGTTTCCCTTGTTTTTTGAGAAAGGGTCTTGCTGGCATGAACTCACTGTGTAGCCCAGCCTGGCTTTGAACTTGCGGCAATTTTCTTACCTGTCTCTAAAGTGCTGAGGTTATAGGCATGTGCCACTATGCCCAGCTTCAATGTAACGTTTATCATGTTTTGCTGAATCTGTATTGCAAGTTTGCGTGAGCTGGGCATATGGCACATGCCTATAATCTCAGAACTCTGGGAGCTGAGGAGGAGGATAACAAATTCAAGCCCATTCCAGGACTAAGAAATTTAGCAAGACCCTGTTGCAAAATTTACAAACAAAAAAATTTTAAAGGTCTGGAGATTTAGTGCAGTGTAAAGGTCTACGTTCAATCCTCAGTACCTTAAAAACAAAAACAAAACAACAAAAAAGAATTTTCAACATTATATTCAAGAAAATAGTATTCCCTATTGAGCCAAATAATGTAATGTCATGATATAGCCTTCCTTGTAACCTTTTTATCTTTCCTAAAGTTAATAAATTTAATATAATTAATAAAATTAATTTTAGGATAGATAAAATTAATCACTCTAGGCTGGGGACATAGCTCAGAGGGAGCGTGCTTCCCTAGCGTGTGCAAGATCTTGCATTCGCGCTCTGGCACTACGAAATAAGTAAGTACCTGGTTAAATACTCTCCCTCCTTTTCCCACTTGCCTTGCTTTCGGAGCGCCTGTGAATCACGGCCTCTCACGGTGACCTTTCCTGTGGGTTAACCCATCCCTGGGATTTTCTGCTCGCCCGTGGTCCGAGCGCATTCGCCAGACTTTCGGTCTATTGCTGTCCGGCACCTTCTCCACAGTCCAGAAAGTCCCTTGTGGCCCGGAGCTGCTTCTTCTGTCTTTCTTTCTTGCATTGCTATTAGAAGTGTGAGAGCCTCCTGATTTCTGTTTTCATTTTTATTTTTTTATCCTTCTAATTTCTGATGCTTTGCCTGTAATCCTTTTTTTCTTTTCTCTAGAAATTTGTAGGGTTTTAATGCTTTGAACTTTCATGCTAGTATACTATGTGTGTGCACGAGTGTGTATGTGTGTGTGTGTGCGCGCATGTACGTGTATTTTATCCAGCCATTGAATACTTGTGTAATTTAGTTCTAAGACATTTTCTTGTGTTATTTCTCTGGTAATGAATTACATGTCTACTTTTTTCTTTGTCCTCCATTTCTGAATCATTTGCTAAGTGGACGTGACTTCAAAAACAATTTTCTTACTTTTTTATCTTCTCTCTTTTTCATTTTATCCTTTTGCTTTATTTTCTGGATACTTTCCTTCAAAAAATATTTTTATATTTTATTTTGTTGATACAGAGTTTTCCTTTGCAGCTTGGACTGTAATGATTCTTCTGTCTCAGCCTCCGTAGTGCTGGGATTACAGGTGTGCACCACCATGCCCAGTTTTGGTGGCTGACACAGTGCACCTGGAGTTCTGGGGCCAGTGCAGCATGCAGTGCTGGGATTGAACTCAGGTCATTGTGTTTGCCAGGCAGTCACTTAGACCGCCAAGCTATCTTCCCAGCCCTGGATACTTTTTTCAGTTTTATCTTCTAATCTGTTGGGATCTCATTTTTTTTTTAAATTTCCAAGGGCACTTTATTGTTTTATGAGTGTTCCCTTTGATAGCATTTTATTCTTGTTTTATGTAGATTGTACTTTTTATTTATTTTATTTTTCACGAATTTGCGTGTCATCCTTGTGCAGGGGCCATGCTAATCTTTTCTGTATCATTCCAATTCTAGTATTTGTGTAGCCAAAGCGAGCACTTCATTTTAATTTTTGATTCAGGGTCTCGCTATACAGTTCAGACTCATAGTGATCCTCCTGTCTCAGTCTCCTGAGTGCTGGGATTACAGGTGTGCGCCACCACACTGGGTTCTGGGGCTGACACAGCATGCTCAGGGCTCTGGGCCAGCACGCCATGCGGCACTGGAGATTAAACTCTGGACCTTGCAGTTGCCAGGCAGGCACTTAGGGCGCAGAGCTGTCTCTCCCCAACCCTAGATTGTATTTTTTAATCATATATATATATATATATATATATATATCCTGTTTCTTGTAATGTTTGTATTTTCTGTGCATTTTTTTCTCTTTGTTTTAGTTTCTGTCTTTTATTTGAGAGGCTATCCTGAAATATTTGGTAGTGTTTACATCTACTCATATTTAAGAGAAAAACACCAGAAAGCTGATGAACGCTGGGGTGCGAGGACCTTGCTCTGGGGTCATTGGAGATTGAATTCACTTTCCTGAGAATTCCCAGATGTATTTGAGGGTTTTGCTGTTAGGTTTCATCGGTGGCGGCAGAAATGGGGCAGCAGAGAAGCAAAAATAAAGGGGAAGGGGCATTTATTAACTCCGAAGACTGGGAGAGGGTCGAGGGCAAGAGATGGGGGCTGAGACTTCAGGGACGTTTGCTAGGGGCCGAGTCTGAGGGGTGGGTTAGGAAACACACCAGGAGCAGACTGGGGGCTCCCTTGTGTGGGGGCGGGAGGTAAAGGGAAGCTGTGTCCAGGGCCAGAGTGGGGAAGGAGGAGGAAGTGGCCATTGGGAAGACGAGCTGTTGTTTTGGGGATTCAGCCATGTTGAATCAGGGCCAGGATAATTTAGCAGTTTGTACTTGGGTCAGAACCTATCATTTGCCCTGGTATCAACCATTTTAAAAGAAACATTTTCCCTTTTCAAGCCTAATTGTGTGCTTTCTGGGAAACAAAGAAGCCAAGGTAGCTTACTCCTTGGCTCTTACATTTATAGTTAATTCTGCCTTTTCCGATTCCCTTCCTCCCCTGAGCCTAGTATCCATGAAGAGGCTTGAATTTCTCCAGAACAAATCATGTGTCTCCTGCAGTGGTTGCAGTGTTGTTGTTTTGACAGACAGGGTGAGGATGTGGCCCTTCTTTTTTATGGCCTCTAAACCATGGCTTCTGTAGTTCCACGTGCCCCCCGCCCCACTTCTGTCTTTTTTTAAAAAATGTATTTAGTACAGGGTCTGCAGGATCTCACTACGTAGGTTGGACTTGTAGCGATCCTCCTGTTTTCAGCCTCCCAAGTGCTGGGATTTCAGGCATGCCACCGTGCCCAGTCTCAGTTCCAGTCTCAGCGCGCCCCAGGGGTAGGGCCGGCACAGCAGGACTGGGATCGAACCTGGTTTCTGAGCCTGCCTAAGCAGATGCTTTAGTCCGCTGAGCTATCTGGCTCATCCTTAAACACACTTCTTTTAATGTGATCATGGATTGCCGAGTTTTTCTGGGGCTCTCCAGAGAGGACTAGCTTATGGTCTGTCTTTGGCCCTTTGATTTCAGCTTTCTTCATAGGGACCTTCCTTGTTGTAAACCTTCCCAGGTGAAAAGAGTTGATGGTGACGGTAGAGTAGTAGAGTTTTGATCTGTGTATGGTGATTTTCAGACACAAGGAGACAGTCACAGAGCTGCTTATACAATTAGCTGCCATTCTCTTTCCTAACACTGTGGGGGTGTGTGTGTGTGTGCGCGCGCTGCACCTAAAAGCTTTATACACACCCTTATTTAATCCTTACACTACTTTAAAATGTGTCATTCTCACTGTACAGAAGCTGAGCTCTGAAAGGTTAAGTAACTTGCCCAAGGTCACAAGCTAGTGGGAGGTACAGTACTTCCTTGGGTCCAGCTTTCTTCTTGCCTTCTTGTGTGTGAGAACCCCTGATTCGGCAAACACCAGCTAAAGGACCAGGCAGCATGGAGATGCCTATGACAACAGCTGCGATAATCCTGTATTCAGATTTCTATTAGCTGCAGAGAAAACAAAACCAGCGCCTTGTGTCGTTGTGTAGGAGGGAGAAAACCTGACCACCAGTTATTCTGTTGTCTGTGTCACACCCTGCCTCCAAACCTCAACCTCCTGTAAAAAGCAGTTTCAAGAGTTGATTTCTGGTGGCAGAGACTGATAGGAGGAGAACGTGTCCCCACACAGGCACTGTATTAGCAATTCAGACAATGTATTTCCCTCGGGACAACTGTTTAAAAGTCTTGAGAGGAATGAGGAAGTTGGGGGAAAAGTGCTGAATTAAGAACAAGAAAAGGGCCAGGGAGAGTAAAGCTTAAAAATTAACATGTAAGGGTCTGACGGCTAAATGTCAGGGTGTTCCAATATTTTTGTACAGAAAAATTGAGGGAAAAGCATAGACTTAATATTCCAAATCATTTCTTTTATGAAACAACGTCTTGTATAAATTTACCAATAATGTTATTTGTGTCAGGCCGTTAAGCAGATCCCCAAGTCAAAGGCACCGGAAGGAGCTGTGTGTGTTCCTACTTCATTAGGCATGGACATCAAAACCAGTGGATCCGGCACTTGGTGGCTCAACTCATTGTAAAATATGGCACACTCAGTAAATGACAGTGACCAGGGAGGGCAGTCACCCTGTGATTCCCAGGCTTGTCAGAGGAAAGGGGGTAATGGTGGTGACAGTGATGTTGTCAGGTGTCCCTTACCTGCCGATGACTGGCCCTTCCTCTGGGTTGGCAGAGCTATCTATGGCTGAGTCAGCAGCCAGCTCTTCTGTTGCTGCCCAGGCCCGAAAGCTTGCCTGGATCCCAACCCCTGCCCTGTGCCTCAGTCTCTGCGTTGGATTCTCTGAGCCTATGTTGAGGACACTTTTCCCACCACCAACACAAATCAAGCCCGAGGCCGGGAATCGGAAGAGTATGGTGGGTATAACCTACGCATCTATGAGCTGTTTTTGCATGTTACCCAGTTACGGATGGCAGAGAGTGGGGCAAAAAGCTGTTTTTAGACTAGCTAGTTTCAGCTATTGTAATTCTTAGCTTATTCTCCATAATGATATAAGATGGAGCCCAAATACAAATGAAAATCAAAATAAGTTAAGGCTGTCAAGGTCTGGATTAAAAAAATATGGTTAATGGTGGAAAGTTACAGATTGCTGGTGCCACCACAGACACATTTGTTGGACTCAAGTAAACCTGACCTCTACTACCTAGGTCGTATCCTGCGTTTTCCATTGTTAATATTTTCTAATACTGTGGCTAGAACCAACCTGGTGGTTGATACTTAAGTACGATAGATTTCTAATCCCCATCTGCAATTCTGAAATTCTCAAATTCAGCAGCCAAATCTTCTTGAACAGAACTTTTTAGGTACACCTATCCTGAATGGATGGGAGGCTAATCGGAGTCTTTCTTTAGTCTACTTCGGACAACTGTTCTAGTATTCACTGCTGAAGTACAGATGCGTTGGTTTACAGAGTGCCAGAGGTCCTACATAATATTTGCAAGATGCTCATCATCAAACAGTTCTGAATGCCCGCACATATATGGCTTTGCAATGTTTTTGGGTAAGGGATTATAATAAGGCTAATAGGTTCATTTTGGTGGTTTTGATCTACTTTTTTTCACATGCCTTTTTTTTTGGTATCAGGGCTCAAACTCAGGACCCTACGCTTGCCAGGCAGGTGCTTATGCTGCTGAGCTATCTCCCCGGCCCTCACATGCATATTTTTATTTCCTAGTAAAATATAGTTCATGCACAATCTTGCTTCGTGCTTTACCCTCTCTTTTCAATAGAATCTTTTCCCTACGGTGGCCCATAGTTTCCATAATTGCAGAACCACTTATTTATTTTGCTGCCAGTTTAAGCAGAACACATACTATGAAAATCATTCTCTCTCCCTGTGAATGTGTCAGTTGTTTACAATATTTTGTTTGTATACACAATGTGGTAATCTTTGTATGAAGTACGTTTTGTAGTTTAGCATATGAGAAGACCAACATTTCTTGACTACTTACTACGTGTTGGGCACTTTGCCGGCTTCCTTCTTTCTCTTATCCTCACCACAACCTCAGCAGTTAGATCACAGCTACAGAGCACTGTGTCCGCTTCACCCTTAAAGGAACTCACACTGATGGGAAGAAGGGTTTCCCTGTTGAAAGTCAAGCTGAGAACACGGGCCAGAAGTGTGACCGTGAGGCCATTTCCTGTGTAGGACCTTCGGGTTTCCCCATCCTACCAGGCGTTAGCGTGGGCTACAGAGTCAGAAAATGAGGGGGAAAGGTGACGGCACCTCCACGTGCAGGTACACACGTGCACAGGGGGACATGTCCATCCCATGAGTGCCTGGGGGCTGGACGCACAGGCCCCACAGCAGTAAGGACCCGGCAATGCCCTAGGACACCGTGTGGCCCAAGGGGTTCAAAGCAAGGAGGAGGCAGGTCCAGGCATGTGATGCGAATGAATGTATTTGCCTAAAAGCACTTTATGTACTGCAGTAAGCCAGGTTTCTTAGTTTCACTACACAGAATTCATTCTGATTTGTGTGAGAGAGGAATTTATGTAAATAAAAACAGGGACACAGAAAATCCCCTCTGAAGTCTGACTCCGAAGTCAAAGGCAGAAAGCAGACAGGTGCGAAGGAGGCCAGGCGGCGGCATCTTTGCGATGAGGCGCCCAGCTGCTCTGAGTCCTCGAGGTCTTAGCTGCCATGCTGTGGCCCTGGCACTGCCACATGCGGTCTCAAAGTGGAGGACACCGCTGTCCTGCAGCCTTCACCCAGACAGGCTGCCCTTAGTCCCTCTTCTTTTTGCCTCACTCGCCCTAGATTCAAAGCCTGGCATAGGCTTACCTGACCCATTAGGGCTAAGTTAGACATGGCAGTGGCCTTGCGGAACAGGAGCCAGGGGGTGAGCGCCACATCTTTGCAGCTACTCCAGTGGGAAGTGGCTTCTGCCACTCTGTGTCCTTCAGGAAGGGTTTGCTGTATCCCGGGAGGGCTTGGATG